TCATTGAGAACTTTTCCAAGTTAACCCGTCTGATGACCAACCTTCTGAAGAAGACCAAGGAATTTGAATGGACGCTCGAGTGCGAACAAAGCTTCTAGGAATTGAAACGGAAGCTTACCACCACTCCTGTGTTGGCATTGCCAGATATCAGCAAAGATTTCGTTGTCTATTGTGATGCATCCCATCAAGGACTTGGTTGTGTACTGATGCAAAATGGAAGAGTAATAGCATATGCGTCTCGACAGTTGAAAGAACACGAAAACCGTTATCCAACTCATGATCTTGAGTTAGCAGCAGTTGTGCATGCCTTGAAGATCTGGAGGCACTACTTGATAGGTAACAAGTGTGATATCTATACCGATCACAAGAGCTTGAAGTACTTTTTCACTCAAGAAGATCTGAATATGAGGCAACGCCGATGGCTAGAGTTGATCAAGGACTACGACCTGGAAATTCACTATCATCCGGGAAAAGCTAATGTAGTCGCAGATGCTCTCAGTCGAAAGAGTTACTGTCACACTTTGATCACTGAATCCATACCACCTGAGCTTAAGGAAGAGATTGATGATTTCCAACTTGAGATATTACCGCATGGCTTGTTGAATGAGCTCCGCATACAGTATGATCTCACAGATCGCATCTGTCAAGCTCAGAAAAAGTGTGAGGAGATTGAATATCTCCGTGGTTTGATGAAACTAGGCTACAAGACCAACCACCACGAAGATGAACAAGGGACCATCTGGTTCAAGGACAGGATCTGTGTACCTTCTGATCCAACCCTACGAGAGGAAATTCTGTCAGAAGCCCATGATTCTAAGTACTGTATTCACCCTAGAAATTCAAAGATGTATCAAGACTTGAAGAAACACTTTTGGTGGAAAGGCATGAAGACAGACATTGCAGGACATGTGGCATGGTGTGACACCTGTAATAGAGTCAAGGCTGAACATCAAAGGCCTGCAGGATTGCTAAAGCCTCTTGACATTCCCGAGTGGAAATGGGAGAGTATATCTATGGATTTCATAGTAGGATTAACCCGTTCACAGAAAGGCAACGATTCCATCTGGGTGATAGTTGATCATTTGACCAAGATTGCTCACTTTGTACCAGTGAAGACCAAGACCAATGCAAAAAAATTAGCAGATCTATATATTGAGCATATTCTCAGACTACACGGAGCTCCCTCTAGTATTGTATCTGATCGTGGTCCTCAGTTTGTGTCCCGATTCTAGGAAGCTCTGAACAAGTCTATTGGACCTAAACTTGATTTCAGTACCGCTTACCACCCACAGACAGATGGACAGACAGAACGAGTAAATCAGATCTTAGAAGACATGCTTCGCGCTAGTGTGCTGAATTATGGCTCTGATTGGGAGAAATGCTTACCCTATGCAGAGTTCTCTTACAACAACAGCTACCAAGCCAGTATCAAGATGTCACCGTTTGAAGCCCTGTATGGCAGACCTTGTAAGACACCTTTGATGTGGTCTCAACCGCGTGAAAGATCATTCTTTGATTCCGCTAAGATTCAAGAAGCAGAAGGAGTTGCTCAACTAAGAGAGAATTTGAGAATTGCTCAAAGTCGATACAAGAGCTATGCTGACAAAAGGAGAAGAGAACTTGAGTTTAATGTGGGAGACTTCGTTTATCTCAAGGTATCCCCGCTACGTGGGACTGTCAGATTCCATGTGAAAGGAAAGCTTGCCCCTAGATTTGTTGGCCCGTACAAGATTTGCAAAAGGATTGGAAAGCTCGCCTACAAACTTGAGCTACCTGAGGAATTGGCGGGTGTACATCCCATATTCCATGTCTCACAGCTACGCAAATGCTTGAGAGTGCCCGACGAAGTAATCCCGACTGATACACTTGACATTCAAGATACACTTGAGTATAGAGAACATCCTATCAGAATTCTGGACAGAGATACCAAAGAAACCCGAAGCAAGACTATTCCTATGTGCAAGATCCAATGGAGTAATCACACTGAGAGAGAAGCAACATGGGAGAAAGAGTCAGACCTCGGCTACGATATCCTTACCTCTTTGAAGAGTACGTTATGCTTTAATCTCGGGGACGAGATTCTATTAAGGGGGTAGGACTATAACAACCCAAAAATCCACACACCAAAAATACCAACTACAAATTTTTTTCTAAAAACTTCCATGTGATGATGAGTGTCATGTAAAGTAACCCAACCCAGGAGTTGCATTAGAAGTAACCCAACCTAAGTCAACACATAAGCATGGCATATCATTTGTTAATTATGATTATTAAATTTCCAACAAATAACATGTTGCATACAATGTTAACTTAAATTATGATTTGTGTTTTCATTTGCTTTATGCTATGATTGACAATTCCATTTAAATAATAAATCAAAAAGTTATTATTAAACAAAATTCTCTAAACTCCAATAAATAAGTTACCTCGGTTTTGAATTTAAATTCTAAACCAATTTTGAATTCAAACAAATGGAAAAAGAAATGAGAAATAGAAAAGGAAGAAGAGAAGAAGGCCTCCCAGCCAGCTGCTCGGCCCAACCTGCTCGGCCCGCGCCGGCCAGCTAGCCTCAGCACGCGCGCACGCGGCCCAGGAAGCCGGCCCAGGAAGCCGCTCACGCCCGCGCACCCGTCAGCCCCGCCAGCAGTCGCTACCACATTGGCCCCGCGCGTCAGCCGCTCGCTGCCCACCCGCGCGCTTATCAGCTTCGCCCGCAGCCGCTGCCAATGGACCCCGCCTGTCAGCGCTACTGTGCTTCTTCCCCACGCCGCGCTCAAACCACCGCGCGACAGAGCCCCGACAACGGTGGCAGAGCGGGCCAGGGGTCATGCCCGGGGCATGGACCTGTCTCCCCCTTGGCGCCGCGCCCACACAACCCCTCCTGGCCGTAGGATGCAAGCAAGCACCGCGATTGCCCTTGATCCCTGTCCGCCGATCACCGAGCTCCATGGCCGAGCTCGGCTATAAAGGCCACGATCCTCGGAGCCCTAGCGCTCGTCCCGTTGCCCGCCGCCACCTCGGTGGCCATCCACTACGCACCCAAACCTAGAGAGAAGAGGGAGAAGAGGAAGAAGGGGGAAAAGAACGCCGAAGCCATTGTAGGGGAGGAGATCGCCAGAGCCGGGAGAGACGCCGTCGGCTACATCACCGACGCGGGTCGGCACGGCACTGCACAGCTTCCGGAGCTACATGGCCTCGAATTGACACTGCATCGCCATCCTATCTCCCACAACACCTACGGTGAGCCTTCCGATCCCTCTCTGCCGTCGAACCTCACCGTCGGCCATGGCGCTCCACACCTGGAAGCGCGTAGGCCAGTGCCTTGCCTCAGCCACTTGGAACACATGCACCCACGCGCACACCGAGATCACTGTGACACCCCACCGGAGCCCATAGCGCACCAGCGTGCGCATCGCCGTCGACGCCGCCGCCGCCGCCATGGCACACCAGACCACCTACGAGCATTAGACCACCGTGCCGAGCACCAGACCACCGGTCCAAGCACACGACCACCGGTCCAGACCACTGTGCCGAGCACCAGACCACCGGTCCAAGCACGCGACCACCGGTCCAGACCACCGTGCCGAGCACCAGACCACCGTGCCGAGCACCAGACCACCGGTTCGAGCACCCGACCACCGGTCCAAGCACTGACCACCATGGCCAGTACTGCTGGGAGCGCCTAGCGCCTCCTTGACTCGCCCATCCCATTCGCTGAAGCCGCGAGTAACTCACGCGCACGCCATGACCACCCCGCTAGAGTCCCGTGGTTCACCCGTGTGCCTCGCCGTCGTCTTCACCGTCGCCGTGGCCGCCGGGATGTCCCCACCGGCCATAGGAGAACCGAGCCTCGCCTTGAGTCTGGATGACCTCACCGCATTCCCACGAATCCGTAGAAGCGTGCACGCCCCGCCGAGACGTTTTACCATGACCGTAGACACCTCACCGATACCGCCATCGAGCTCGGAAGGGCCCCACCGTGGCCAAAGCCACCGGAGGCCCTAGAGGACCCCTTGACCTACCTAACATGCCTGTTGGGGCGTTGTGTCACCCACGCGCACCACAGAACCGGCCTATGCTGCAGCCCCACGCCATTCCCGCACGCCGGTGAAGCTCGAGCCGCCGCTCGCCGTGGCCAGCACCTTGGGGAAGCTCTGGCCACCACTTTGACCCCACTAACACAGTCGCCGTGGCCTAGGGAAGCTTTTCCCCTCCCCAATTGGGCACCAGCACCGCCACGAAGACTCATAGTCAGCTCGCCGCCGGCAGGAGTACCGCCGCGGTAAGAAACAGGGGAACACCTCCCCTCGCCGGCCACATGCCCATGCACCCGGTGCACGTGGACCACAGAGAGAGAGGAGAGGGATGGACTTGGTCCACCATGAA